AAAAAAAAAAATTGGATGTAGAAGAGCTTCTTTCATTCATTAACAATGAAACCAAATCTAGAGAAGCCACAATCAATATGCGAAGCTGTAATTATCATGTTAAAAAAGAAATGTATAAACAGTAACATTACTAGTAATTAAATAAATTTACTAGTAATTATAAGCATCAGACACCTACAGCGTCAGCATTTTTCTTGTTCCACTGACCTACGCAATTCTAAGAATTGCAAGACATACTCTATTCCCAAAAAAAGTGAAAAACTGCATTAAGAAGGTCGATGTTTTCTCTGCTTTGAAAAATATCATACTTCGTTGAAATGCGCTAAATTTAATTCAATTTTGTGTAAAAAGTACAATTTCAATTTTCATTATTTTCTTTTATAATAATAAATAAATAAAGCCTCAAAACCTCCTATACCAGTCAAAGAAAATAATTCTGACCTATTACCTCAGTATCACAATGCAAAGTAAATAAAACTGAAGTAAAGAAGTAATTTTGCAAACGTCATGCGTTTTAATGGAGCCCGATACTCATTCAGAATCTACCTTGTGTTTATTTGATGTTGGTGGTCGAAGATCTTTTGTCGCAAAGCAATTGGTATCAAAATTTAATCCTCCGATTATTCACCAAGAAAATCTTCAAATATTTCCCGTCTGATACTTCGGACTCCAAACCAAAACATCTGAGGCCGTTTCATTGAGATTATCCCACAAATAAGATCCACAAGATTAATCTCGCTTCATTTTTATCAAAGCATTAATCACTGACATTTTGAATGCAGTAATTTATTGCCCCAGACTAAACAAGAATATATAGAGCAGGTGGGCACCATTCTATCTGTCTGTAGAAGCTGAGGATTCAAACATTAATTTGTTGATAGGAGCAGACTACTTTTATCCAATTTGTTATGACAAAGAAGTAATGAAACTAACGAATTCTCTCTTCTAATGTGACTCGTTATTCAGCTACTCACTTTCACTACACACTAGCTATTTCGAAGAAGGAAAAAATGGAATGAGTACAGCTTCAGTTTTAAATTTTCTGATAATTAACTCAAAGAAAGAAGACTTGAAATTTATGTAGGAATTAGAGGGTCTTGAAATCAGACAATCACAGGATAGTAATATGTCAGAATTAGATTGTGAAATAATGAACAGATTTGAAGATAATCTTAAATTTGAAATAATAGATATGAAACAAGTTTAATATGGAAGGATGAAAAAATTAAAAGTGGGGAACAAGTATAGCTAGAAGGCGTTTTGATGAATTAAATCATAAATTCAACAAAAATGATGAGTTATGTAAAAATTATAAAGCTATTGCATTGGAAAATGAAAATAGTGGAGTTGTTGAAAAATGTCCTGATAAAATAATTGAGAATAGTTATTTTATATCTAACAGACCAGTTTTAAGAAAAGACAAATCTAGTACAAATGTTAGGATGATATTTGATGTGCCTTCCAAAGGAAAGCATTTAAATTCCTTGAACGACTGTTTATATCCAGGACCTAATCTTAGTCCAAACATACTTGATGTTATAATGAATTTCAGAACATTCAATGTTGCATTTTGCTCCAACATTGAGTATGCGTGTTTGCAAAGTGCGATTACTGAAGATAATTAGAATTATTTAAAATTTCTATGGTTTAGTGATGAAAAGGACAACGTTGAATTCTTAAGGTTTATGCCTGCACCCTTTGGTGTAGCTTGCAGTCCTTTCATATTGCCAGCTACAATTAAATATCATATTTGAAAATATAATGAACATCCCAAAGTAGTTAAGATTTTAGATTTTTCTTTGTTCGTAGATGATTTAATTTTGAAATCTGATGATGAAACTATTTTTCATCAACTGCCTCAGATATTTTTAAAGAAGCAAAAATGAATTTGTGAAAATTTACAATAATTTTGTTCCTTTTAGAAAAATGTGGGAGAAAAATAAATTATGTGATTCAGGAAAAAAATCGAATAGGCTAAAGGTATTAAGGATTACTTTGGGATACCAATACAGATAAATTGCATTTTGAGATGCAATCCCTTCCTAACAGTTGAAAATTTAATCCAACTAAGCGTGCTGCTCTCAAGGCTATGCTGAAAATATTTGACCCCATAGGATTTTTTGCCCTTTTGTTTGAATGAAGCATCTAATACAATAAACATGGCGATAGGGTTTGGAGTGGGATACTGTTTTGCCCAATGATTTGAAAGATGAATTTGAAGGCTGGATTTCGGAATTTGAGCATTTTAATAATTTTGAGAATTTTAATAAATACCTCAAAAATATTTCCCTCAAGGTTTCATATTTTTTTAAATTCCAGCCTTAAGGCTTGTGTGGTTTTTGTTTATTTTTGTGACATCACTAATGATAATAAAATTAAAACCAGTCTAATTTGGACCAAATGTAAAGTCCTTTGAATTGGAAACCATTTGTAGTGAATATAGTTATGGAAGTTCAATCTTTAACTGATTCCAAAATTTGGAACCATATCCCAGGAAAAGATAATCCAAGTGACCTTTTAACCAGAGGTGAAAAATTGAATAATCTCATCGAAAACAAGTTATGGTTTTACGGTCCTGAATGGTTATCAATGTCAAGTGATATGTGGCCCAAACCCAAAAATATCATCATTAATAATGATGCTAAAGACGTTACAGACAAAAAGAGATCTGATTTGAATTCCGCACAATTGTCTTGTGCTGTTGATGGATTTCCAGATTCCTTGCTAAAATTAGAGAATTTTAGTTCTTTAAACAAGGTGTATAATATTACGGCATGGGTCTTTAAAGATTTTTAAACAACACTGATTAGAGGAAATCTGAAATTTAAAGTCACCTCTCATCTTCAGAAATTGAAAAGGCAGAATTGCACTGGATAAAACAGACACAACAAATTGCATTTAATCAGGAAATTGTCACTAAAACATGAAATGCCTATTGATAAAGCTGAATCCAAAACTTGATGAAAACAGTTTGTTAATCATTTCTGGAAGACTTCAATTTTCTGGGTTTTCTCAAAAGGAAAAACATCCTTGGATTCTGCCAGGTGGAAATTTTCTAATTTATTAATTAAGAATGCTCATGAAAAGGTTTTCCATTTTGGTATCACATGCAACTTAGCTCATCTGAAGGAAAAATATTTTATAATTAAAGGTAGAAAAATGTTAAATCAGTATTAAGAAACTGCATGATTTGTAAAAGATTCAGTGCATCCCCTGGAACAGAAAAGGCATACATCATGTTATTCACTTGTGCAGTCACTAGAGCCATCCATCTCGAGGTAGCAAGTAATTCGAGCACTGAAACTTTTATATTAGCCCTTAAAAGATTCATTTCCAGAAGAGGACTATGTAAAGCAATTTATAGTGATAATGTGAAAACCTTCATAAAGACAGATTGTTTTTTAAAAAAAGTTTGAAGTCGAATCTCTCAACCTGACATTCAGCAATATTTCAGAGAAAACAGTACCAAGTGGAAATGTCTTTTTCCTAGAGGTAGCTGGTGGGGCAGATTTTGGGAATGCGTGGTGCGTTCCGTAAAAATGCCTTTGAAAAAAATCCTCTGTAGATCATGCTTCACCTATGAAAGAAATTCAAACCACACTGACCAAATTTGAGGCTGTCAGGAACAGTTGTCCTCTGACTTATGCTTATGAAGATAACAGGGAACCTCGTCTGATTACTCCATCTCATTTTTTTATTGGTAAGTGTTTAAAAATTCCTTGCTAGATGTGAACTATTCAACTAAACACAAATCAAACAAAACTGTTTTCACGAAAATGTCGAGAACAAGTCATCACTCATTTCTGAAAACGTTGGCGAAGAGAATATTTACTTGAACTTTGCTCTACCAATTTATCCCCTCGCACTAACACTCCTATATTTAACACTGATGATGAAGTTTTGATTCAAGAGGACCAAATGGCAAAACACTTATGGAAATTTGGAATGATCAAGGAACTGTTTATTAGTAGAGATGGTAAAATGCATTCATATGCCCTTCAGATGTCTTCTGCTATAATTAAAAGACCGATACAATTACTCTATAAACTAAAACTTCGCAAAAATACTTTTTAAAGTATTTTTGCGAATATTTGTTGATTATATGTTCTAGTTCTGTTTATGATTGTATTTTATATGCGTCAATTTATTCTTTAAATGTTTTCTGCGAATGTAAGTAATTTCATACTTACATTGGAAGTATGTTTTCATGATATTTCTATTTGTTAATCTCTTTTGAAATAATTAGATGCATCTGAACAATTGTTGCATATCTGGGGGCAGTGTGTTGCAACCCCTTTGCGCTGTGGTGCTGATTCTTGCCAAGTTTATAATGTAGCCAGTATATTATTTCTTTATGCAGTTTTCAGATCAGATTAGATAAGAACTGGAAGCAAGTCTCCGGTGCTATATCTGGATTTGAACTGAGATTAAATCCTTGGCAATAATAATAATAATAATGATGATGATTTAGGAATTTGTTAAATCTAGTTAGTTTAATGAAAGACTATTTTTGTTCTGAACACGAATGATGAAACCTTAAAATATCATATGCCACTAACTGAATAGCATATTATTAGAAAAAAACATTATGACTGTATGGATGCTCTCCAGTATATCCATCTACATGAAAGCACAATGGGCATAAAAAAAAACAATTGGAAACAAAGTATGGCACAGATCTACAATAAATAAGATCATTAATTTTACTTTTGTCAGCTCAAGACAACTGGTAAAATGTCACTAGGACATCAATACCTTTTGACAGTTTATTAAGAATAATGTTTTATATTGTAGCACTTTGTCCCTTTTCATTATACAAACAAAGATTTTTGATTAACCTGAAAATGTCAGTGCTCATATATATATATTTCTGTCAAGGAAAAAAATCATGTATTTCTGTCGAGACAAAAACTTCAAACCTGAATAGCAGATCACTTGCACTTCAACATAGCTAATTCCAACAAATTTTTAAATCAAATACACTAAAATTGTATACTTACTTGAGTCATTTTCTCAACTGGTGTAGGAATGCCATCAATGACTAATGGAGGCAATTCATGAAGAGTAGGATCATCTTGTGTTTGAGGTGGAGCTTGTTGAGCTAAAGCTGATTCTAGCTCTTGCATTATGACAGTTTTACAATTCCTTACCTAGAAAAAAAGGAGTCATATTTTAGACTCTTTATTTAGCTGACTAAAAAATGTTCAAGAGCGATAAATACAGCATAAAGTCTTTAATCTGGACGTCCATAATCAGGAATGATCTATAATCCAGACCTCAAAGCTACAAACTTTCTGCACATGCGTAAATGCATAATGCGTTTACACATACACATAATACCTTTACGCGTGCGCATAATACATTTTACGCATGCACGTTAAATGTATAATGGATGGTATAAGCTAGGCTAAAATTATCTATTTCAGTTAATGTTGCAGATTGCATTGTTCCTTAATCTTCTAATTGGATTCGGCTTATTATTTTTTTGCAGACTGTTAGAGCAATTTTATAAAAAGTAAGCTTGATCTTTCAATTATGTCAAAAAGGGGGGGCAATGAACTGGAAGTTGATCTGTCAGCACTATACTCACCTTCAGGGCAGATGTTTTTATTTTATTCGGCTTATAAGTGTTTCATGTAGATGTGCTCCGATATGATTTAAATCAATTTCCTTGTCATTATAAATATCACGAATACACAAATAGTTTTCTGGTTGCAATTTTCTAATTTCGACTATGCGTAATGTATGCTTTACGCATACCCGCGTTGAAAGAAATGTTTAATAAAGTAAACAAATAAATATTAAGCTCTTTTTTTTTTTTTTTTGTAAATTTTGATACCCTTTTATTTCATAAATTACAGTTTCATATTTTTAATTGTATAATTTCTGCATGCCACCTTACCAGATTTAAATTGATGATCTATAATCCGGAAAAACCCCTAATCTGGAATTGCCAAATTCCTGATGAGTCCGGATTAAAGACTTTGTACTGTATGATTTTTAGAACTGTCAAATAGTGTTACTCATGATGTAACTTTTCCATAAGAAAATAAAGTATGTGCAAATATAAATTGAAAATTTCATGTTCTGTTCTTGCATTAAAGTTAAACATAATCAAGACTAACTGGGTTTGAACCTATCAAAGGTAATGCTAGTTTCACTATCCATCTATTAGATGTAATCAACACATCTATTAGATGTAATCAACGTATTGGAACAGGAAGTTCTTAATACTGATGCATACCAAATCTTAAAATATTTGACTAATAAAGATATCAGTTTATCTCAAAATGTATTAAAAACTTAAAAAATTAGACTGGAAGAAAGGATCTCCAATCTAAAGTGACTTGTATAAAGTCTTTTAAAGTCAGATCATAGTCAAAAAGTAACCACAAATTTACTGACCAGGTTATTGATGCTGTGCAAGATTGGGTCAACATGCAGTCAAAAACTTATTCTTCTGAAATTAATACTAGGATTAAAAACATTTTTTTACACCTATATACTTACAGAGATCTGTCAAACTGACAAGAATAGGAAACCACATATTTTCTTTAAAAAAAAACCTTCCTAAAAATTGTAATTTAATTAAACAAATTTAATATTAAATAATTTTTGTAATTATTTTACTATTTAAATTTAATAAAAAATAATAATGAAAAAATATTTACAATCTTAACCCTAGAAATACCAATAACCATCAATCTGATGAATTTGCAGTTGTTTTTATTTGCGCAAGGAAAGTTATGTTAGTTTTAGTATAAACAGATTTAGAAGAACATATACCACAGCAATCTTCTCTGATACTACCTATTATCTCTAGGAATTCAGTACCTTTTCCTGAATCACACAAGGCAAATAAAGGGTATTTCGTCAAAATAAAATAAAACTAGTACTATCCTCTAATTCTATTATGATTTTGCTAATATTCATCATAGTCTATTTATTTTTGATCATCTTTACTCACACTAACTGAAACTTTTTCTAAAATGTCCCGACACACTGATTGGAACTCAACGACTGAAGATAATTCCTTTGTCTTGAGCCTAATGATTTATGTGTATGCTTTAGGTATGTATGATTAACAGATAATCACACATGACATACGCCTTGCTCTGCCGAACCATGGAGCGACGAAGCTCGTTTCGAAGTTATCGAAAGATATTTCAGCTAAATTATGATTTTTATTTAGTACCTACATTTTATCTGCTTTTTATATTTATTACCAGAAAAATGATTTTACAAAATAACTGGTTTATTAACTATGAACCTGTTATTTTGATCAGTAAGCTGACAGAGATAGCTATACATCATACAAAATTCTGAAATTAAAGTGGAAATAAAGTTGGATATGTATTTACCTTATTACATTGATGACTGTCAGCATAAATTACAAAATTAATAAAAATAATGGTTTTTGTAATTTTGCTCACAAAGTCCAAAATCTATCAAAATGTTGGGTCCTATAAATCTAGTGTTAAGAAACTTCCTAGGAACTGGAACATATGTATGGCAATGGCAACTGACTATTAACAAAATAGTATGCAAGTTGTTTCACTCTATGCAGTAAATAGTTTAGCTGGTAAGTTCCTATTTATATTTGAATGTCTCTTGTAAAATGTCGATAAATTTCAAGCCGATAAAAGTGTAGTTAGTTACTGGGAAAATAATAAATAACTCCCCGTATGCTCTAGCATAAAAATCAGCGATCATTAGATTTTTGTGTTAGATTTGGGAAAAACATTAGTAATTATTAGAACTGTTGAAGGATGCACACAATGAAAATGCCATAAAAAGAGGAAAATGAGTTTAATTGCCTAAAAGATTTAAAGATGGGTGAGAAACTATGATGGATGATCTTAGAAGTTGACAGATGTGAAAAACACTGAAACACTCCTTTACTTATATAACCAGGCAACATACATAACCATTATAACCTCTATTTGAAAAAGCACATCTAAAAAAATATATTGAGGAAAAAGAAGATTGATATTGAAATTATTAAAATTAGTAGCATGAACTTTTTTAAACAAGTAAAATGAATTTAGGTTAAAATAACATGTTGAATAATTATTATTGGAAACATTAAACTAGAATCAGTGTAATGTTTGCAGGACTAATTTCAATGGTTCTGTATTTAAATCATCAAAAATTAGTCTTGCCAAAATTTACAAACATCATGCTGATTCTTGTTTTTTAACTAATCCAATAGCAAGTAGACTGAATACTAATGACATTAATCCATTTGATGAATTTTCATTAGATTTAAGAAATTTAAAGATGATGCAAATCTTAACTACAGCAAACCCTTACCAAATGTACATTTGTGGAACGCAATTTTGTATATGTGCATTACCTTAATTTTTTCATTTTAATTTGCCCAACATTAAAATTTCATTATATGCAGTTCAGCATTTTGTTCATCAACAGTTAATGTTCAAAGAAATAGCATACAAACTGCAAAATTAATTAATTGGCAAATATGGATTTTCAGATTTGGAAGAAAGTGGGGCCAAAGAATCGAGAAATGACGAATAAAGAACTGTGTTCGGTGTCTGAAAGAGTATTGCTTGGCAGCATTGTTTTACGCCAAGCAGAGTTTGGCTTTAGTGTAACCCTAAAGTTATTTCGTTTTTGCTTTATTAGTATGAATGATTTCTGACTTGATGTAAGAGCATATGGTTGCTCGCTCTTTAGCTAAGTTACATAGGTAACTATAAGCACATGCGTGTGCTAGTATTCAATAATGTTGTTTTTGTTAAAATAAAATTGTTATTGTTAATATTACAGTCCACTTACTGAAGTTAAGTATCATTAAATAAGTTCGAGCTATCTTCGGCAAGAACAGTTTGGTCTCACGTTAGCCGGAGAAGAAAATGGCTACTAATATTGTTTCATTGAATCGCCAACGCGGCGTAGTGAAAACGAAACTCGGAGCTTTGATAAAATTCCTTGATGAGTATAAAATGGAGGAGAATAAACTCAACCATGATGTTATTATGAAGACTAAATTGGATTCTTTGTTGGAATTAAAATCTCGGGTTAAACAACTCATAGTGGAATATACCAATTTGCCAGAGGAAATTGACTTGAAGGATAATCTAAGCATTACACAAGAATTGGAAGAAAGCATCGAAGAGTTCGAAGTAAGATTTAGAATTTTTCTTTCTAATTGTGAAACAAATAATAAAGATAAATTTGAAACCAAAACTGTTTCTAAATCAAATTTTAAACTGCCTGATTTACCTCTTCCTCAATTTTATGGTAAATATGAAGATTTTAAAAATTTTAAAGTGCAATTTATGTCTATGATTGGTAATAATAATAATTTAAATGATACTGAGAAACTGTTTTATTTGAAAGCATCACTTAAAGGTGAAGCAAAAATGTTAGAATCATGTCAGGATACATTTGAGTCGCTATTTTCTGCACTTGAAAGCAGATATGAAAACAAAAGAGCAGTAGTTGATGCCTTTATCAATAATTTGTTGAAATTTGAAAAAATAAATGACTCACCTTCTCAGTTGAGATCACTGGTAGATAATGTTAAAAGATGTTTGAGATCTTTAAGTGTATTAGAATTTGATAGAAATAATTTATCTGATGTTTTGATATTAAATATTTTATTGCATAAATTAGATAGAGAATCTAGAAAAGCATTTGAACTAAACGTAAAATCAAATGAAATTCCCAAACTTGATGAATTTTTAGAATTTCTCGAAGAAAGAATTCGCATTCTTGAAGAAATAAACAAAGTTAGTTTTCCTAAGCAGAGCTATGCTACTAAAGTATCAAATCAATTAAGTCGCTCTAGAAATTCAAAATCCTTGGTAACTAAAACAAACCCTTTTCGAAAGTGTATTATGTGTAAAGAACCACACCCAATTTATCATTGTTCGAAATTTAAGAGTATTTCTGTTTCTGAGCGGTATGATTTTGTTAAAGAATATAAATTATGCATTAAATGCCTTTCTCCATCACACGTATTATCGCAGTGTAAGGCTAAACTTCAATTGTTATGTCTGTAAGAAAGACACACATCATTCGCTGTTACATAAAATTGACGAAAAACAAAATGAATCATCGAAAGAAAATGAATTGACCTTGAACCTTTCGTCAGTGAATGGGAAAGAGGACTGCCCCTCTCCCC